AACATTAAGTAACAATCTTCTCACGCTCAACTTTCTTCTTCTTTTCATGTGGTGAAACATGTCGTTCTCGCAAACACACAGTGTGGCCAATGTGTGCAACGCAGTACGAATGTAAATATAGTTTATTTGTAACTGTCATGTTTCAGGGGAAACTGGCAGTGGTGAAGCCGTTCGCACGACTCAGAGACAGGAAATATAAGACCAAGTTCAGTTTTACTTGATCCAGGCAGGCAGAGTCAGAACAGCAGGTAATAATGCTGCATTTGACACATGAAGTTGGATTTTCCCAGTTTCCAGTCGGACATTTCAACTTGAACGCCCCCTTAAGGAGACAGAGTGTTACACACTTCTCTGCTCCTCCATTTCAGCATTTATGAAACTGCATAGTGACAGTATAAATAAACTCCTGTTTGTTGTTGTTCATATTCACTACAGTGAATCACACCTGACTGATTAAAGGAACAATCTGATGATATTCTAAATTGTTTCAACAAATTTCAACAAATCCCATGAAAAGTCCTGTGTGTGATTCACAGCCTGATGTGTCTTCTTCCTCTGAGCCATACAGCTCCATTGTTGTCCAGAAACTATTAAACCCCATCAGTGAGCCTCACTGCTGCACTGGGTCACATGTTCCTCCATCTACATGAACACACACACTGTATTTTATTCTGACTCAGTCCCCCATACGCCGTCCTGCTGCACCAAACACTCACTAGAGCGCCACATGTGGATTCATCCGCCACTGAAAACAGTCCCCAACTAATGCCCTATTGCCTCTTGTTTGTTTGATAGAAACTACAGTGAGCAGCTGTTTTAGGAAATTACAGAGCTTTTAAACATAAAACTTCATATCTGTGTTTTTAAAGATTTACATCTTCAGTAGGAACCAATGGGATCAGAGCTGAGAGCCACAGACAGGAAGTCAGAAAGCATTTAGAGACTAAAGCTGCAGTCACGTTAGGTCATTGTTAGGGGTGTTAATCTATGTGGATGACTCTCGACGTGTCGTCTGACGACTCCACGGTTTGAGACATCGTGGAACAGTTCATTTGAACTTCACTGAACCAGACTGACAGGTTAAAGGCTCAGGAACTGATTACCTGCTTAGAGCTCTTCTCAGGTCGACTTTTCTGTAAGTGCGCATGTTGCTAAAGTTGGTTTAAGCCCTTTATGAATTCTGGAGCAATTTTTTTGATTGACCTCAGCCTCAATGTGTGTATTGTCACAAACATAACCACTATTTCCTGTTTCAGCCCGTCCATTTTAAATCCAATGGCAGGAAAAAACATGCAGAACAAAGAATCACCTGATGATTATTGAAACACATATTTTACAGAAATTTGTGTGTCTGTAATTGTCAGGACCAATTACAGTTTTAGACCCTGGGAGTGAGGACATTATGGCCCTTTAAACACGTGTTTTTAGGGTAAGAATAGAATAAGGTTTTAGTTCGGTGAAGGTTTGGGTCATTTAGTTGTCATGGTTAAGGGTTAGGTGTGTGTGTGTGTGTGTGTGTGTGTGTGTGTTTGTGGTAAAAGCACGTTTTGATCAAGCTTTTGCTGCCACCTGCTGACGGCATGACGTATGACGTCTGCTGCATTTCAAAATAAATGTTGAGTCTAAAATAAAAATGATGTATCTATAAACTACACAAACCTTAAATAAAAAGTATTGAACAAAGCCAGGGCTGAAATGGACAACACAATACATAAATATATACACATACAGAAATGATGGCATATATAATGAATATTCAGAATTTAGTGAGAGATGAGACAAACGAGAAGAAATGACATGAAGTCAAATAAAATAATGTTGGTTTGTGTGATTAATGAAATGTAAAATAAGAGAAGAAATGTTCTTAATGAAATTAAATTGTACAATATACTGATAATTTACATTTATAACATCGAATGACATGTATTGTAGAGGAAAATAATGTAAAAATAAAATAAGAAAGCACCAAACCAGTGTTTTTGTAGACTTTACTGTGACTGCTGCTGTGACGTAATATACAAACTGGGGTTAAACACTGGAACATCTATTTAAACCTCTGTGTACTTTCATTCTGTTTGCCTCCTATATATAAAATGTATTCACCACTCCACTGTAAATATTATATTAAATTGTATAAAAATATTAGTCCTCCTGCTGAACATGTTTAAATGTCTAATACAGGTGTGAATGCACATTAAAGGATGAGTCTGGCGCTATTTTAAGACCAAAACCAAAAACATCTCAGTCTGTCTCTCAATTCTTTATGATTTCCTGTCAGTGGCTCTCAGCCTGGAACCCTTGGTTCTTACTAAAGGCTTTAAATATTTACAAATATAGAGTTTTATTTTAAAAAGGCTCAGTACAGCTGCTCACTGATGTGTTTTTAATAGTTTTTGGACAATTGAGCTGTATTGCTCAAGAAGAGGAAGAAGAGATTTCAGGCTTTGATAACACACAGAACAGGTTGGGAGATACACTCACTCCTGGGTTTAGTCTTTTCTCTAAGAAAATCAGCAGAGTCTGCAGTATGTATGAGTGAAACATGCTAAAAACTCTGCACTCGTCCTTTAAACTCCAAAGCTGGATCTGCTTTTCTTCTTCTTCTCCTCTTTCATAGCAGCAGGTGACACATTATAACTGTCTCAAAGCTGCGACCCCCTCCTCCTGTGACATCATCCCTCTGAGATGAGCTGACCTCTGACACCTCTGAATACAGAGACCCCCCCCCCCCCCCCCAACACACACACACAGGGGGGTCTTTCTTTCCTTTGTCACAACACAGTAAATAGCCGGTTGTCTGAATGAAGTCGTCTGCTGCAGGAGAGATGTTTTAATCCTGTAACATGTTTAAACAGAAAACATTCAGCCCAAATGTTAGTTCAACTCTTTTATGAAGGACATCTTTCAGATGAGCATGAAGCTGGAGCCAGCTAGCTTAGCACAGCTCAAAGACTGGAAACAGGTGGAAACACCGGGTCTTTCCGAAAGTAACAAAACACCACCTACTTTGTTTGACCATGTTTGAGCACTTTGTAACTTTGTTTTGATAAGTGCTACATAAATAAAGTTTATTTGTACTCGCACTTCGAACGCTTAGGTGTGTTTTCACTGGAAGAACTTTCCCAGGGGACCAAGAACCTTATTGAGGAACCAGGAACTAAATTTACTTCCAGGGAGCATAATATTTCATGCTCAGAGGAGAAGTAGTTTCAAATAAATCTGCCATCTGATTGGTGAAGCAAGAGAAGTACTCTGGTATTGGTTTTAGGACGAGGGTCAGACATTTCTTGTTGTTTTTCATTGTGTGTTTAGATGTCAGCTTCCCGAATGGAAACTTAACTTAATAATTGTTTCAGGGCGGTTTTGTTCTAAAGCAGAAATGAATAACCACCGCAGAGAATTCAATCTTCTTCTTCTGCATCTTTTTTCTCTTCATTTGTTCATTGCATCCAACTCAAACACCAGAATGTGCTAGAAACACAAACTGTGATGTCTTGTTCTTTAGTTCCTGAGATGAGTCCATTTAGTATTTATTATATTATTTACTTTTTGGTTGAAAATGGGGCTCAATTATTATTATTATTATCTATATCTTGTTTGTTTAATTTGTACAAAAGCCAAAGAAACTTGTCTGGTGGTTAAGAGCCGCACTACACGGCTTTAGAGCACTGGTGGGCAGATCTGTCACCTTTGGACAGAGCCATGCTGGAATTTTCTCCCATTTCCAGTCTTTATGATAATCATCTGTAGCTTCATATTTAATGGACAGACATGATAGTGGTGTCAATCTTCTCATCTAATTTTCTGCAATAAAGTGAATCATTTTACAAAATCTTTAAGTATTTCCTTCAAGATTTACCTGTTTGGGTTAATGTCAGACCCAAGCTCGTCCTTTTCTCTCTGCATTGTTCACATAATTCCTTAAAAACATGATGGCCCCGGGTTTGCTGTGAGGTAATTTGATAAAACACAAATTAAATAAGAATATGCATCATAAAAGTGGATTAATGGACGCCTGTCTGAAGTAGATTATGACTCACTCACTTTGATAAGAGACTTTATCACTTGACATTGTGCTTTAGTTTAAATTCTCATATTCCAAATCAAAATGATCAGTAATCAAATCACCACAAAGAAATTGCCACAAAGTGAACTTGAGTTTTTTGTTGTCCAATTTTCCCAGTCAGTGATCCAGCTTTGACTTTAATCTCAATGAAATCCTCAGGTTAGAAACCGCTCGATTAAATGCTGCTGCTGATTCTGATGTTTATTACTTAGAGAAGAAACGACAGACGGTGAAAAATAAAAAAGAAGATCACTATAAAATCACTGCAGACATGTAATAAAGACATGTTAAGTTCACAGACTTTGGCTACATTATAGCAGTTTTTTCTAAGAAACATAATCTGCAAATGTACCAACTCCATTAACCTTTCGAATAGTTTTAGGGAAAAGCATTTTAGTAATAGTGTATTATTCCTAAAACATTACTTTTAATTGCTTACCATTTCTTTCTTTGAGCTTTGTGAGCCCTTTATTTTTCTTTTATAGAAAAATATTATGTCAGTTATTTAACTGTCCACATTCACCAGAATCCCCCACAGGAAACACATGATCAATATAGACCCTATGAGTTAGAAATATTATAGAAACATGACATGAAATTGAATCTTGTATTTGTATGTATGAGTAATTCTGACATAATGATTATAGTGAGTTTATGTCTACATCATAATTATTAATTATTATTGGATATTGGATGATGATTATGAATATCTTGTATTCAGAGTCTCTTTTATTATGTTTCAAATTCTGCAGCACTTTGAAGTTGATGATGACAGAAAGACGTGTGCATGAAATAAATTATAAACAGCCTGCATAGCTATTGTGCATTTATGATTTAAAAGAATATAATACCTGAACAGAAGGTTAATATTCATATTCCATAGCCTACAGGTTGAAATCAAATCACTCACACCTGCTTCAACTTTTATTCACCATCATAAATATCCAGCTTATTACAAAACAACTCACCGGTCAACATATAAATAGATTTATAAAACTCACGGAAACAGTCGCGAGATAAAAGTGACACTTTTGCAGAAAAACACAACGATAACAACAACAACAACAACAACAACAGGAAAACGTTTGGTTTGATCTGTTTGACCATCAGTTCCACTTCATTCTTTTTCTTTCACGTATTAAACAACAAGCTCTGTAGTTTTAGACGTTTTGCGCGTCGGGAGAGGGGAAAAGCTTTTGTGTGATAAAAATGAAAAACAGCAACTTCTCCAGGTTGTGCCAGATATGAAAGGATCTTTTTTTAGGGAATTTCGCCATTACAGGAGTAAATGTCCTACAATCTGGATGAAAGGTTGAAAACAGAAACCGACAGGGAAAATTGATAGAATATAAGTACTTGTGCTTCAACTTTAAGATTTAAATTTTCTTGTTTTGTTTTGCCTTGTTTCAAGACACATCCTTTATTATCTTTCTGTGAAATACAGATCCTGATATTTACCAAACTCCATTCAAAAAAGAGCCGATTCTGCGAAGAAAAACAATAATTTTAAGGCGAACACCAGGTTGTAACGTGGACGTCTTATGAATTGTATCCATGAAAGTTTGTCTCGGGCTTCACCAGCTCCAGTGGTACATGTGCGCCAGCTGCTGCACTCCTGCGTGCTGCTGCGGCATCCCGGGGTGCCCCGGGCCATAAGCGGGATGCAGCAGCGGGGAATAGGCACACAGAGGCAGGCTCAGACCGGACCTTAGAGTCGTCTCCAGGTCCCCCGCTATGATTCGGTCGCAGGGCTTCCCGTCCCGCACCAGAACCGGGATGGCGACCCGACGGGCCGGCAGCAGCTGCAGCGCCTCCAAGCTGTGCTCGACCCTGGCCCGCTTCATCTTGTAGCGGTGGTTCTGGAACCAGATCTTCACCTGGTTCGGGGTGAGGCGGATCAGCCCGGCCAGGTGTTCCCTCTCCGGGGCGGAGAGGTAGCGCTGCTGCCGGAAGCGGCGCTCCAGCTCCAAGGTCTGCGCTTTGGAGAAGAGCACCCGCCGCTTCCTGCTGCGGCTCTTCTGCGACGCGCTGCGCGCCGGGTCTCCCTCTGCGTCCGGAGACTCGTCCGTGAAGAGCTCGGGAGATTTGGACTCGGTATGGGCCTCTAAGGACAGACCGTGTACTGCAGGGAGACGAAACAAGTAATCTGATTACTTTCAGCTGGCTACTTGGATTACTCCAAAACACAGTTTGGAACAAGTGATTTATTTAAAACAACAAAAAGACTGAAATGATTGTTCTGCTTTCCAGCGGAAACATATTAACGTTTCCATTGGTGAAGCTAGAACAAACAGCCCCAGCTCAGCATGTTTTTATTTCGTTTCAAACTGTAGCCTGTCTACTTCCGCAGAAATATTCTGAAGCTGCTCTGGAAATAAGCCACATTCAAGGGCATCAAGTGGGGAGCAATGATTCACACGCATGTTGAACTTAAAAATCTGAATGATTGGACAGCTCCCCACTTGATGCCTTCAAAAGAGGCCAAAACTAAACATCGGCAGCAACTGTACTGAGTTTAATAGGCCATGGCCCCGATTTAATAACCGAGAAAACAACAATACAACCTAAAAGCGATAAGGACAAGAAGGAAACTAACTTTCTGGCCAGAAATGAGGACTAAATTATGTCACTTTTATAATTTTAGCAGTAAACCTGAAGATAGATTTAAGACAAAGTAGTTTGAGCTGACTAGGCTACTAATTGTGTTGCCTAATTACGCACAAACAGAGAAGAGTCAGAAATGAGGTCAACATGAACTGATGCATGAATATAAATCATGTGATAAACTAACAGTCAAATTTGTATTTTTAAAATCAAGTCTCCTCACAGGAGAAGTGCAGGTTACCGGATCCGCGGCTCCACCTGCCGAAGCTTCCGCGCTCGCACAAACTCGCGTTTTCCGACCCTGAAACCTCCGCGGAGGCCTCCTCGGTCTCGTCTTCCTCGGTCTCCTCGGTCCCGGAGCCGCATCTCGCGTTCGGGTTTGGCAGATCCAGGATGTCCCGCACGGAGAAGCCAGCTTTTATGTTGGTGCCAAAAGACATGACGCCTGGGAAAAGCAGCGACAGAAGAAAAAGCAAAACGTCCCAGGTTTGTGTCCAGGATGGTTCACCCGCTGCAGCCCGTTACAGAGGGACGGACAGCCGAGGGTTTGGGTCCATGAATGCCGTTAAACGGAGCCCGGAGCGGCACGGGCCAACCGGAGAGGAGTTAACAGCATGAAAAATACATGAGGACAGACATTAAGAGAGTGCATGTGTCCTCCGTCCTTTTTAATGACTGGCGTGCACAAAACCAGGCCATTAAAAAGGACGGAGGCGGGTCAAGTGGTTGAGGGTGTGAAGAAAAAAAAACCCAGCAGCGCAGAGATGCTGAAGCTTCAGGGAGGAGGAGGAGGAGGAGGAGGATGTTTAATGATGGAGGATTAGAGAGAAATAAGGGATTCATTTACATATTTTAGAGTCACGATCCGCTTCCAGTTTAAGTCTTCAGTGTGTCTGAAACTCCACATAAAGCTTTTAAAACGCACGATAATTAAAGATAAACAGGCCTATTAGTGTTGTTTCGTCTGTGATATGAGATCTATTAATGCAATATGAAATTGATTTACAAAGCTGAAAAGTATTAATATTTACTGACACGCATTTGTAATAAAATCACAATCAAAAAGTTGAATTACTCAAAAAATGAAAAAATAAATAAATGACAAAAAGACACCATTGTATAGCCCTAAATATACGTAAATACACCGACATTTCATTTCGGTGTAATTTTATGACATTAAGTTGAATAAACAATCTCTCTAATTTATTAATATTCATTACATATTTACAATAAAATCCATAAATCAGTAAACAGCCTCAGTGGCTTCTGCAGCCCTGTGTATTTACATCTTAAAATGCATAAAGACACTATTTCATAATTATAATAAACTTCATACAGATTTTTTTTTAACAATTTATTCACAGTGCAGACAGAACTGCCAACATTTAATTTGATCATCACACCGAAGTCAGAAGATTGTTTGAGTGTGTTTGACTGTTTGTTGTGAGGATTAACTCAAGCGGCAGATGAAGAGTCAAAGTGTTTTAACACACCAGCTGAGGGACACACAAGATCAATGCACATCTTTATTGTCCCACAAGCTAAATCAGTTTTGCCCCATCAACACAGTTCTTCATTACTAGTTTAGCTCTGATAGATACTTAATCAGTGGGCTATGAAATCTGCCCTTTTTCACAGAAGACATTTTGACGTATCACAGCAGAAAAAACACAGTCAATAAAAATAATAAAACGAATGATGGCTGAGCTCAATTTAGCTGCTTCACTTTCAGGGTCCTGGTGTTTTGCACGCTGGCTCCACCATTAATATTATTAGCTACACATGTGCTTTTCCTGCCATGACAAGTGAAGATATTTGCTCTTAAAAATTACTATTCTTGCACTTCTTTAACTTCACAATGCTCTTATTATTGTGTCCTTCTCAATGAATGACTCCTTCCATTTAAAGAGACACTTTTTTCAAAGTCAGGTGTGAAGTGTGTCAGTTTGGTCCAAAACTGATTTAACAAAAACATAATTAATAGTGTGTGTACAGTTATTGGGAGACAGGGATAGTTCCAGGATTTGTTGTTCTGATCTTGTTTTTATAGATGATTATTAACTAAACAGTTAAGTGAAATATCCACCGCTCATCCTGTGTACAGGGTTGTGGGGTTGAGTGAAATAGTATATGAAACAACAAGGAAATTTACACTCATACACAGAACAACAGATTATAAAGAAATACAAATTAAAAGAAATGTATTGTGCACTCTATTAAGTGCTGAAGTATTATTTTACTTGTTTGTTAAAACAACTGAGTTTTAACAAAATGACCTGGAGGGACATTCAGCCACAGCTCTGTACAGCTTTGAATTTGTTTTGGGTTTTGGAATTACATTAATTATTATTAATTATTATTAAATACAGTTATCGCTAGTGGCATGTCTCGTGTGCACATCAGAACTCAGTGTAAGAAGCTACACAAACAGTCTGGGGTATTCAATGCATTCATTTTGTTTATAAAATCTAGAAGTGACACCTTTAACCTCTCATGATCTATAATCTATAAACAACTATAATCAGGTCAGATGATTTATTGTAAATGCTCAAATGCCTGCCAAACCCATGATATTCCCATCAGCCTCAGCTGTTTAGTGCTTCTTAGCAAATGTTAGCATTCTAACAACTAAGATGTGTTAGCATGAAGCTCAAAGCACCACTGCCAAGTCAGTACAGCCACACATAGTTCATGTGTTTCAGGTTTGTGTGTTTTATGATTGTGTGGTTTGTAGTTTACACATCAGATGTGCTGAAGTCAGCTGTAAGTTTATACACAGCAAAAAACAAAAGCCCTTCTTTTCTCTTAAAGTCTCTCAACTTGTGTCAAGAAATGTTCATTTCCTTGATTCTAATGCACAAATCATCCCGACTACTGAAGCAGTGGCTTTAATGCTTTAATGCTAAATATGACTCAATAGGAAATAGTATACCAGACTTTAGGATTTTAGTTTTTTGGGGGAGCATTTCTTTACATCAGAGTTTGTGTTTGGTTAAGTTGTGGTTTCCACTTTGCTGTGTGGGCGTGTGACAATGAGTAAAGCTTGCAGTGTGTGTGTGTGTGTGTGTGTGTGTGTGTTGGATCCTGCTGGGTGGTCGAACTCTGCAAACAAACACACGACCCGCCGACAGCCACAAAGACCGCACAGCCTCCACATTTATCCCATTTATTCCCCCTGAACACTTTATAATGGCCTGGCTGACACACACACACACACACACACACACAGACACAGACACAGACACACACACACACACACACAGCGCTGTGAATACATGTGAGGCTGCTGGGAGTTGTCATGGTATTCAGACTGCTACCTTCAATAGACTGTCTTCTATATTCATGACCACACACATACACATAAAGCAGTTCCCATTTCCAGCCAGTCAACTACCCTGAGTTGATTTATCCTAAATTTATATGATTAAATAAAAACTGTAAAACACAAAATCAAATCGATGTTCATTTAAAAAGTTATTTTAAAAAAGTACATTAGAATAAACAAGATATAATAGAATAAAAAATTATCTAAAAAGTAAAATGAAAATAAATCGACCCCCCCCCCCCCAAAAAAAATAAGAAAATATTATAAAATATAAAACACACAAACTAGTGTAAGGTAGACTAAATTAAAAATAATATACAAACGAAATGAAAATAACAAAGGTTCAATTGAAGCCTCATAAACTGGATAATACAAATAAAAAATAATCTAATTACATGAAAGTGACAATAAAACGAAAATTAAAACATATAGATTAATACAATTTAAACAAATACAAAACACTATAAATATAAATCAAAAAAGCTTTATTTATGAGACCCAGGTTCAGTTGTAACCTCATAAGTTTGTTATGTTTATAGTTCTTAAAATCGAAAAGTGTTTTTAATTATGACTTGAATAAATTACGGGCAAATTACAGCCTCCAAAATCATGTAAACCCTGTTTTCCTGCGTTAGGCCTTAACTTCTTGAATCCTAAAATCATAAAAAGGAAATTATAGGTGAAACGAGATTACAAATCTTAGTTACGTTTTTATCTGACATTTTTAGAGGAAAAACAACCAACCCCCACTGACTGCAACTTCAAATAGACATTAATGTGTCCAACTGTCAACCTACCTGACCCTCTGTCTCTGAGCTCACACTGCCCCCTGCTGTCAGACCGAGGAACCGCAGCGCAGCCTTCCAGCCACCAGAGAAAAACATTCAGAGGTTTGTAGATAAGCCACTGCAGTTAAATCATAAAACATATTTCATAACCTTTCAATAAACTCATGAAACATTGTGAGAAAAAACAAACAAACAAAATATGACCAGAAATCAGATGTGTTGGCTGATTTTTCCACAATCTTCAAGGTTCACTGAAAGGTTCAGACAGAAGTGTGGTATGTATATAAATAATTAATAAAACATTTTATTTGATGATGCTTTTCATGATACTTTAGGTCGCCTTACATCATAAAATACAACAAGCACCAATAATACATATGTAGACGAAGGCTATATGTACGTAAATGTATTGTTAATCTAATTTTGTTATTTGAATAGGTTTCACATGTAACTCATATTAAATTTATCTTTTCTTTTCTGTTTAATTTTGTTTATTTTGGGGGGGTCTTCTATTCTCTAATAATTTCCTAAACATTGTTTGAACAAAAAAAATAAAATAAAAAATAAATAAATCACGGTTCTTTCTAGGAAAATTCGCTTGTTTCTCACTTAGAAATTATTGGTATTTACAGACCTAAAATAAAGTTTTAGGTCACTATCTAAAAATATATTTCACCACATTTAGAGTTAAACCACTGGTTCCCCAAATGTTTTCACATCAAGGACCCTAAATTGCTTCAAATTAGACCACAGACCACCATCTGATAGGATTTTTGCTTTTAGATGTTTTATTGCAGGAAGTGTATAAAACCCTTGATCAAAATATTTAGACATTCTGCCATTATATTATTTATAGATGGAATTAAAGTGAAAATAATATGCCTCTTTTTGGTGGGGACACCCTGTAACCTTCTCAAGGACCCTTGGGGGTCCCAGGACCCCACTTTGAGAACCACTAGACAGCTGAGCTTTCACTGATCATCTCTCCATTAAGAGGTCTTACCACAAACCAAGAAACTTTGAGCGTGTCACAATTTATGTTGCCCATATTACCCTCAATTTGTATTGCAGTGGGAAAATGTAGTGTTTGGATCACTAAAAATTCTTAAAAAGAACTGAGCTTTCTGGATCTTGCTGCTAAC